CGCTCCTGTGCCTACAGGGAAAGGCAGGCCAGCTCCACTTAGCTATGGTTGGTTTCAAAGCCCACACTTGACATCGTCTCTCTTACATTGCAGGGTTCCTGTTGACCTGGCCAGTGCTTCTTCTGCCTGTCCTACTGACTTGGCTGTTCTGAGAGCTGGACATGTGGTCTTGAATCTCCTATCCCTCCATCTGACAATGGCTCCAAATCCTGTCTACAGTCTTATCAGGCTAGGTCTGGGGAAAGAGATGAGCATTCCCCTTCTTTAATCTTCTCAGTGCCATTAGATTCCTCTTTGCTTATGGTGACCTGGGCTGACGTCCTCAGTCCTCATTCCTCAGCAGGTTCTTGAGTGTCTGTAAGCCTGGGGAGAGGTGTGGGGGGGAGGCATGTCCCTGCAGGACACTGTCCTGAGCACTTCTTGCTCTTCCTGATGATGAATTGCAATTGAACAGACTGACCCTTGCTTTCACATCGCCTCCTCTCAACTATTCCATTGTGGTCTCAACAATCGCCATATCACCATGTCCTGAAGGAGACTGTTCTGGGGAACCCTGTCCCCCTTTCATGCTGCCCACCCCCCTCCCTGCCCCTACTGCCCCACTCCAGCCCTGCAAACCTGCTGCCATCAAGTCAGCTCTGACTCCTGGCAGCCCCACAGATCGCAGAGTAGACTGTTCCTTACAGGGTTTTCTTGGCTGCAATCTCACAGAAGCAAATCACCAGGTCTTTCCCATGATGTTTCTAGGTGGATTTGAACCACCAACCTTGAGGTTTGTAGTTGAGCACAGACCATCTGTGCCATTCTGAGACCTCCTTGATGTGATGTGGTTGTTAGGTGCCATCGAGTCAGCGACCTCATGAACAACAGAACAAAACACTGCCTGGCCCTGTGTCAACCTCACAACCATCGCTAGGTTTGAGCCCATTGCTGCTGCCACTGTGCCAATCCATCTCATTGAGGGACTTCCTCTTTATAACCGACCCTCCACTTTACCAAGCATGGTGTCCTTCTCCAGGGATTGATAACATGCCCAAAGTATGAGAGACGAAGTCTGGCCATCCTGGCTTCTAAGGAGCACTCTGGCTGTACTTCTTCCAACATAGATCTGTTTGTTTGTCTAGCAGCCCATGGCACTTTGACTATTCTCCTCCAACACCATAACTCAAATGCATCAATTCTTCTACAGTCTTCTTTATTCGTTGATGTACTAGAACTACAAAAACTATCCTTGGGAACTGCACACTGTTCTCTTTGGGGGCAGAGACACCATCACCCCAAAGCACCCTTTTAGCTGTAAATAGTGGCTGTACTTGTTCTAAGGAGTTAGGAAAGGATGCCTAGCTGAAAATCATGTCTGGACCCTGCAGTGAGCCTGGGAAATGGACAAAGCCCTTCTCTGGTAACTAAGCCATCACAGAGCACCAACCACATCAGTGCCATGAAGAAAGAATGATTCCCCTTCTCACCTTAGGCCTCACCAAGCTCAAGCTGGCCTTAGAGAAAATGGGTGAGACCACCGGGTACTGAGAAGAGACCTTCTAATGGAATTCCTGTTAAAGACGGTGTGGTTGTGAGGAACTGAAACCCACTCCAGAGTACATAAAACCCACTACCACTGAGTCAAGTCCAATTCACAGCGATCCTGAGACTTTAAATCTGTACAGGAGCAGATAGCTTCATCTTTCCCTACGGAGCCTTTGGTGGGTTTGAACTGCCGACTTTGCAGATAGAAACCTGATGCCTTATCCACAGAACCACTAGGGCTCTTTCCCAATATTCAGTGTATTCCAAGTCATTTCTGACTCATGATGGCGCCATGTGTTAGACTTTGAGACCCACCAACCATTTCATGACGAAAAGTTGTATCACTCTATTTCCACATAGATGACAGCCACGGGAACTCTTGGCACAGTTCTATCCTGACCTTCAGGGTCACGTGGAGTCAGAATTGATATGATGACAACAGATTTTATTTTTGTTTGGGGAAGGGGGTTTTGGAGTCTCTGAGTAGGTTTGAACCACCAACCCTTCAATAAATAACTGGCCACTGAGTACCACTCGGGGCTCCTTACTTAGACCAACTCACCCACCCATTTCCATGGAGCATATTTCAACTCACAGTGACCCTGTACAGGGCAGGATGCCTCACCTTTTCCATGTGGGAAGGCTAGTGGAGCTAATTTTAAGGGCCTAGTATTCCAAAGTCCAAGGGTAGGAGAGACCACCTGACTGGGAGACAGTGGTGATGGTGGTGATTATGTGCCGTGGAGTTGGTTCTGACTCATAGAGACTCTGTACAGAAAGCCTCATCTCTCTCCCACGGACCAGCTGGTAGTTTTGAACTGCTGACCCTGAGATTAGCAGTAGCGCCTAGAAACTTGTTAGAAATCACAGTTGTTCTACCTTCCTGTCATTTGTCCTAAAGTCTCTGACATCAGCTCATCTTTGTGTGTCTTCTTCATTTGTCTGAAACTAGCTTGATCTGTTCATTCACTCATTCCATGGTGAAATATGGACACTTGGATGTCACAACTCTTCCCAATTCTAAGAGCAACAGAGTCTGACTAGCATCTTGGTATCCATCCATCCAGACCACATCAGGAGAGTTTGATCCTCCCTACTGTCTCACCTGGTCCAGTCATCTGAGGCCAGTTAGGTGGGATCATGTAACAGCAACATTGCTGATGGGGCAAGTCTTGGTGTTTCTGGGGTAGATAGGCCAAAAGGCACAATGATAGTGACTTCTTTACAAGAGTGTCTTCATAAGAAGAATTGTCCCATTTCCCACTAATCCAGGATTCATCTCTTTGCACTCCAAGGGGGTAGTACTGAAGGACTAGACCTGAAACAGACCTTTGGAGATCCTAATCATTTCCAGTTTCTCCTCTCTGTATATGTTCAAAGGGTTGGGCTTGAACACCATTCTCAAACATTTTTTAATGGTACAAACTTTCTTTAAATAAACTTGCATGGATGTCCAAAATGAACAGATTAAAAGCAGATTGACTCTTGCTGATGAAGTGTGGGAAGTTTAGATCTCTGTGATTCCACCTTCTGCATGCCCTCAAGTCACCTCCGTGGTAACTTCGCTGGTACATTTTTAGAACTCCCTGGAACTGATAACCTCTAATGTCTCTTTCAGCAGAAAGTGCTTGAAATTCCACTTAATGAGAGACAACCTGAGTCAGTCTGTCTATGTCTATCTGTCTGCTTACCTACCTACCTACCTGTCTATCATCTTTTGAGTCCTGGTGGCGCAATTGTTTAGTATTGGTCAGTGGTTCAAACCCACCAGCCACTCCATGGAAGAAAGAGGTAGCCTTCTGCTTCCATTAAGATGTGCAGTTTCAGAAACTTTAGGGAACAGGTCTACTCTGATCTATCAGGTTGCTATGAGTAGTAATTGATGGCAACATGCTTGGCTTTTAAAATCTGTCTACCTGTACTTTCAGGAGCTCTGGTAGCATAGTGGTTATGAATCGGGCTGCGAACCGCAAGGTCAGCAGTTCGAAACTACCAGCTTCTCCATGGGAGAAAGATGAGGCTTTCTGCTCCCGTAAAGATTTATAGCCTCGGAAACCCTGTACAGGAGTCAGAACCAACTCCACAGCACATAACCACCAACCACTTGACTTTGGACATGTTATCAGGAGGAGCCAGTCTTTGGAAAAGGACATTCTACTTGGAAAACTAGAGGGTCAGCAAAAAAGAGGAAGAGAGCCCCCCCCCCCTTAAGATGATTGACATAGTGGCCACAACAAAGGGCAGTTGTGAGGGTGCCACAGGGCGTGTCACACACAGGGTGGCTATGAGTCACAATGGACTGAACGGTACTTAACAAACAAAACAGTTTTAAAATTTCGTCTATAAATGGGCACACTCTCCGAGTCACAATTTCTGAATGTCAGATCTACTTCATCATTTGGTCAACACAAATGTACTGAGTAATTGCTATGTTCCAGGCCAGGGGACCCGTGTACAATAACCACCGAGAACAGTCCCTGTCCTTAAAGAGTTCACAGTCCAGGAGGAACCCAAACATCCAGAAGCAGAATCCACCCACCGGGCTGCACACACACCTCAGTACAGAGACTCTGCCTGTCCCCTCAAGCACAGCCTCTTACATATTGATTGCCTAAATCACTTTGTAACAGTCAACATTTCTGAGAATGACATAGAAAACAAGCATATTCTAAGCAATTTCCGGGCATGACGTCATTTCACCTTGAAGGTCTGACCTATTACTAGTCCCCAGTTCAGAGAAGAGTAAACCAAGGCTTAAAGAAGGTAACTACTCACTCATGGCTCATATTGCTTACATCCTAGATTCAGAGTTTGAACCCAGATCTAGGCCCCTAAGTGGACACTGTATTCTGTCACCTTTTATAAGAGGAAGCTTCAAAAATTTTGTGGAAACATGAAATTTTTCCAAGAAGTTTTTGATGTCCCCTTCGACACAATTGTGCCATTGGATCGCTTCTGACTCATAGTAACTATGTATAGGGTTTCCGAGGAATGGCTGGTGAGTTTAAACCGCCAGCCTTGCATTTCAAACCAACTTTGCAGTCCAGTGCTTATCCTACAATGCCACACCAGGATACTTACAGTCAAATATGCGCATACACAGTGGTACTCACATACACATATATATATATATATATATCACCGTACAATGGAAGCCCTGGTGACGCAAACAGTTACAACCAAAGTGGTGCTGTGGGTTATTGTGCTGGACTGCAAAGTCTATTTGAACCACAAGGTCAGTGGTTCAAACTCACCTGCTGCTCCTTCAAAACCCTATACAGGGCCGTTATGAGTGGGGACCAACTCAACGCGCTTAACAACAACAACTAACCTAATGGATGGCAGGTGCCTCAGAAGAAAAGCCTGGCAACTTACTTTCAAAAGATCATAGTCATTGAAAGCGCACTGAAGTGTAGTTCTACTCTGATATATATGGTATTGCTACGACTTAGTATCAACTCAGCAACTGGTTTTGTTTTGTTTTGCATTACCATACATGTAGGCAGCAACTTGCATACAGGCACACAGGGGCCTGTGCAAACTCACTGACATTCATGTGATATGCACATTTGCCAACATAGAAGCTCTCTCAAACACATATCCATCCATCCATATACAGTGATAC